ATACCGGTAGAGGAATAGATAAATAGAGAGAGAGACACAGAGAGAGAGAGACAGAGGGAGCGAGAGATACCGGTAGAGGAATAGAGAGATAGAAAAAGATGAGATAGAGAGATATAGGTAGATAGACAGACAGAGATGATAGATCGATGGATAGATGGATGGTAGATAGATAGAGAGATGATTACAGAGATACAGAGATATGAGAGAGAGAGAGGGAGAGAGAGGTATGATAGATAGATAAATAGAGAGAGAGAGAGAGAGACAGAGAGAGAGAGATACCGGTAGAGGGATAGAGAGATAGAGAAAGATGAGATAGAGAGATATAGGTAGGTAGGTAGATAGATAGACAGACAGACAGAGATGATAGATCGATGGATAGATGGATGGTAGATAGATAGAGAGCTGATAACAGAGATACAGAGATATGAGAGAGAGAGGGAGAGAGGTATGATAGATAGATAAATAGAGAGAGAGACAGAGAGACAGAGAGAGAGAGATACCGGTAGAGGGATAGAGAGATAGAGAAAGATGAGATAGAGAGATATAGGTAGGTAGGTAGATAGATAGACAGACAGACAGAGATGATAGATCGATGGATAGATGGATGGTAGATAGATAGAGAGTTGATAACAGAGATACAGAGATATGAGAGAGAGAGGGAGAGAGGTATGATAGATAGATAAATAGAGAGAGAGACAGAGACAGAGAGAGAGGGATACCGGTAGAGGGATAGAGAGATAGAGAAAGATGAGATAGAGAGATATAGGTAGGTAGATAGACAGACAGAGATGATAGATTGATGGATAGATGGATGGTAGATAGATAGAGAGATGATAACAGAGATACAGAGATATGAGAGAGAGAGAGAGAGAGAGAGAGAGATAGGTATGATAGATAGATAAATACAGAGAGACAGAGAGACAGAGACAGAGAAAGAGAGAGATACCGGTAGAGGGATAGAGAGAGAGAAAGATGAGATAGAGAGATATAGGTAGGTAGATAGACAGACAGAGATGATAGATTGATGGATAGATGGATGGTAGATAGATAGAGAGATGATAACAGAGATACAGAGATATGAGAGAGAGAGAGAGAGAGAGAGAGAGATAGGTATGATAGATAGATAAATACAGAGAGACAGAGAGACAGAGACAGAGAAAGAGAGAGATACCGGTAGAGGGATAGAGAGAGAGAAAGATGAGATAGAGAGATATAGGTAGGTAGATAGACAGACAGATAGATGATAGATCGATGGATAGATGGATGGTAGATAGATAGATGATAGAGAGATACAGAGATATGAGATAGAGGTAGGAAGAGAGAGAGAGAGAGAGAGATGATAGAGGTAGATACCAGTAGGTAGATAGATAGAGGGATAGAGAGACGAGATAGAGAGATAGATTCCTCAGCCAGCCATATAGGATAACTTTCTTAATAGACGGTGGGTATGCAGCAAGTGTAATATGACTTCGGCAAAGTGGGGGGTGGGGAAGAGCTGACTGGGGAATTCTGGGAGTTGAACTCCACAGGTCTTCAATCAGGGGTCTCCAACCTTGGTCACTTTAAGACTTGTGGACTTCAACTCCCACAATTCCTCAGCCAGCCTCCAATCATGGCAACTTGTGGACTTCAACTCCCACAATTCCTCAGCCAGCCATATAGGGTTAACTTTCTTAATAGATGGTGGGTATGCAGTAAGCGTAATATGACTTTGGCAGAGTGAAAAAAAGGAACTGGCTGGGGAATTCTGGGAGTTGAAGTCCACAGGTCTTAAATCAGGGGTCTCCAACCTTGGTCGTTTAAAACTGATGGACTTCATCTCCCAGAATTCCTCAGCCAGCCATATAGGGTAACTTTTTTAATAGACGGTGGGTATGCAGTAAGCGTAATATGACTTCGGCAGAGAGGAAAAAAGGAGCTGGCTGGGGAATTCTGGGAGATGAAGTCTTCTAGTGGCCAAGAATGGATTTCTCCATGATTTCTCACCGAGATGATGTGTCCTCCGAGGCCATGGGCCGCGTCTGCGCACTCCATGACCGCACTGAGTTGAGGGTAACCCACTCCGGTCTTCTTCCGGGTGGTACAAACGGAGCCTGAAACAAGCCAGGATTAAGCCAGCAAGAATCGTAACGGTCCCTAACAAGGCAACCTAGATTGAAATGTTTAGTCTGGCTTTAAGGGGAAAGGATGAATTTAATAATTTTAATAATTTAATAATAATTTAATAATTTACGGGGAATAACCAACGTCACCTGGTCCGATGCCCACTTTGATGATGTCGGCTCCCGACAGGATGAGCTCCTCCACCATTTCTCCTGTCACGACGTTCCCGGCCTGGTGCGGCAAAAGAGAGAGGGGCGGGAAATGGGTGAGACCCACATGAAAGCAGCTAGGCAACTTTGGGCCCATCACCAGGTGATGGTGAGTTCCAGCCTTCGAAATGAAAGCCACCTGGGTGACTTTGGGCCAGTCACTAGAAGATGGTGAGTTCTAGTCTTGCCTTAGGCATGTGGAAATCTTAAAAATATTCTTTTTAAAAAATCTTAAATATCTTCCTGTTCTGAGCGAGGCTTCCCAAGAGCATAAAACTAACTCCTGGTCCCGACAAAAACCCCTTTTATTCATTGGCTGTGAATTCTGCTCATTCGCATCCAGCCAAAGTCTTTCAAGGGAGGATTTACGGTCACCGACCTTATCTGGCTTGGAGACCAGCCAGGCCGATCTCTGTACAACTTGGCACAGGAGTCTCGGAGTCAGTAACCAATGAAGCGAACTCCTGCAAGCTCCACTCCCCTTTCGCTCCTCTTTTATTTCCTCTGGGAGGGGCCATTCACCGTCCATCTGTGGCGTTACTCCCAAGTCGACCCCTGTTCTTTAGCTGTTCCCTTCTTGTCTGGCAGCTCTGTGCATGCGCACCCTGGGAACAGGCTCCAGCTGTTCTTCTACCTCACGGATGTCTGACTCCGAAGGCAGCTGATAACTGTCGGACGGCTCTGGCCCCCTCTCTGCCTCCGACACAGAGCCCTCATCCGAGCCTTCCCCAGACTCCAGGAATGGCCCAGGTTCCTCCCCAACCTCCTCACTCTCTGAATCTGGCCACCGATGGGCCACAACCCTTCCCTGTTTGGCCTCCTCAAGTGGAACAAGAAGGACGTCCACACGTACCATGATGGTGTGATGAGGGAACCTCTTCCGCAAATCCCTCAAGAACTGGACGAAATGCTCAGAGTAACCGTTGGCCACATCAAGGCAGATGTAGCGGATCTGTGGCACGGCCTCCAGGACTTGCTCCAAGTGCTCCAAATCGGACGTCCCGGTGCTGGCTGCCACGTTCTGAGGACAGGCAGCAAGCAGAGAATTTATAATCTCTCTCTCTCTCACACACATACACACACACACACACACACACACACACATACACAA